GCTCTTCCGGGCAGTTACTGTCCAAAGGAGGGAAGAATTTGGTTGGTTTGGTATTTTTCTTTTTCCCTTGCTGTGCTTTATTTCTTTGGAAATTGAAATGAAGGGGGTTATTTATTTCTTTTTAATTTATTTTGTCATATTTTTGTAAAACCTGCAGAAATGCAATAAAAATATATTTCAACAAGCCTGAGGCATGGGCTAAATTATTGCCCACATCTGCTCAGGGGACAAATCCCGGGTCTGCCGTCCCCGGGGCAGGCGGCCGGGGACGTTAGGGACGCCGCCACCCCTCACCGCCCTCCGGCGCAGGGCAAAGCTCCGAGGCGGCGACACCAGGACCAGCCCCGCCGGCGTGGTGCGATGCCGAGCGCCCTCCGGCAGCCACGCCGCAGCTCTCGCGCCTATCGGCAGGTAGAGGAAGAACAAAGAAAGGTATAATCCTCTAAATTCTGCAAATTTATTATACACAGTATCAAACATGGAATAGTTTAAAAATAAATGCAAAAAATCCAATGGCCGTAACATTCGACTACCGGTGTATTTACAGTCACTCCACGAGGGCAGCCCTTCGCCAACATGCAGCTTTCGGGAAAACCCACCTTCCCCCAGCCCCACAGGACAATATTTTTGCAAAAAAAAAAAAAAAAGAGGAAAATTCAAGTTGCAAAGACAGGTTGGAAGTAACAGAGACTCACAAGCTCGACGCTGCATTGCAAAAACCAGCCCGGGGTCGCGGGTGCTGAACGGAGCGGTTGCGGACGACGGAAAGCTCCGAGCCGCCCGCAGACGCTGAGCGCGATGTGCGGCTGGCCAAGGACGGGGAGGTTTAACTGCGAATGCCCAATAAAGCCCGATAACGGCACGCTGATGAATAAGAAATTAATGCGTTTGGAAATCAGCACGACTGTAGCCCAGACGTCAGCGCTGAGCGTCCCGTCGGATTTCACACCGTTTCTGACAGCGATTCATCGCCCCGCGAGCCGCCGTCGCGGGACGAAGCGCCCAGGCAGCGCTGCTCTCCACCAGCTCGCCCCGCTGCCGCCACGCTCCCCAGCCCCTCGCCCTTTCCACGCTCGCACACGCACGCTGCTTATCCAAGCAGGGCAGAGTATTTCACCTATTAGACCGTCCAATACCGCGTCTCGCAAAAAAAATAAAGCCCTGTGCGTGTTGAACATCGGTGTCCCAGGGATGACGGCGCCGCGATTCACGGAAGAGCCCACAGGTACGAGCCGTCCTGGAGCCTCCGTTCACGGAGCTGGTAGCAACGAGGCAAAGTGAAACGTTACTGCTGGTCGCTAGCCAAATGAAGTTTGCTTCGGTCACGAAGGCGAGGAAATTAAAAGCAAAGTTAGAGCAGAAAGAGCACAAATCACCATCCCCGTCGTGCAGAAGGCGGCTGCAGGGCAGCTTCGCTTTCCTACAGTGCTGGCGAGCCGAGGAGCGGGGCCGCCTCTCGCCTCCCAACGCTGCCGAGGCGTTGGTTGAGGACCTGTGGAAAACCTCGTCCGCAGCGTTCACGGCTGCTTCCCATGCAAAAAAACCCTCATTCGAGATGGGGTGAGGTTGTAACAGTGCTGCCCTCTGACCTCGCCAGCGGAGTACGCACTTTGAGGTTCACATCAGCAAAACTTGGAAGGCTACCGCAAAGGATAAAGCCACCCAGACTCCTCAAAAAGCATTAAGACCGCCAATAAGACTTTTAATTCCTAGAACAACCCAGTTTTAATATCACACACGTAGGGAGCCTCAGTTCTTCGTGTTTGGGGATGCACTAGGAAAGTTTTGCCTTTAAAAACAGAATCTCAGTGTTAGAGAGAATTTGAAAGCTGGCATTTCATTCCCTTGTTTCAGTTAAAGATGTTCTTCCCGCAGGCCAGGTTCAGCCTTTTCAATACCGAGAAGGCGTTTCCTTCCCAGAGGTTAAAAAAAGATGAGGTTCCAGAAGTCCTCTCTCCTCCCTGACATTAAACTCTCAAGATGACACACATCTTTTATATAAAATATAACCCAGCTGCCAGCGCACGCGTTTCAGGACGAGCTCTGCAAGCCGATGCTGTGACAGCAAGTCATTGAGCGTCAGCTGGACACAACCACTTGTAAGCAAGCCGTCAGCTGGCACAGCCAGTCCACCTGGGTAGCCTGCTGACTCAGCCTTTTCGGGTGATAACTGGCGGCAAACGCCCCAGATCAGCTGTTAGCCCAGACCCCGGGGCTGCACTCTCCACTGTCAGGGCACAGACGTTGGGAACCGGCAGCGGAGAAACCCAAAAGCGCAGCCAGCACGGCGTGAAGGTCAGTCTGCGCTTACCCGAAGCCGTGATGCCATACCCCCCTCTGGGCCCAGCGGCCAGCACATCCTCTGCACGGCTCCCAAAAATACCCTCAGCTGCTCCCCGGTAAATGCAACCCTCTCTTCTTTAAAGAAAAGGATTTCCCACTCTGTTACACGGCAAAAACTCTGGCCACGGTCAGTGTGTCGCACAGTTCCTCGGCTGCAAGGCTGGTGTCAGGAATCCAGGAAAACAAATCCGTTTTCCTGTTATAGATAGGCGGGTCTTTTAAAAAATCTTAAAAACAAGAACTGAAGCTAGCGGTATACAAACAAGCCAGGAAACGGTAAGTGGTAACATAGCTGATAGCTAAAAATCCAAGACTCCTGCTTAGCCTTTG